CCGAAGGACATCACTAGAAATTCATAGTGCTCATAGCAAGTTCTAAAGGCTATTTTAGATATATCCTCTTTTCTGATTCTCAACTGATGGTACCCCGACCTCAAGTCTATTTTTGAAAAGTACTTTGCATCCTGGAGTTGATCAAATAAATCATCAATTCTTGGCAGTGGGTACTTGTTCTTAATGGTAACTTTATTCAGCTATCGATAGTCGACACACATTCTGAGAGACCCATCTTTCTTCTTGACAAACAGGACTGGGGCACCCCACGGTGAAACACTCGGTCTGATGAAACCCTTGTCAAGAAGGTCTTTCAATTGTTCTCTCAACTCATTAAGTTCTGCTGGAGCCATCCTATAAGGAGGTATAGATATGGGCTAAGTGCCTGGCATGAGATCAATGCCGAAGTCTATGATTCTTTCAGGAGGAAGTCCGGGAAGTTCATTTGGGAAAACTTCTGGAAATTCTCGAACAACTAGCACTGACTGAAGAGCTGGTGGTTCTGATTCTGGATTAATAATGTGAGCCAAATAGGCGAGACACCCCTTACCAATCATTCGTTGTGCCTTAAGATAAAAAATAAACTTACCTACAAGCGATGCTAAACTACCCTTCCACTCTAAGACTTCTTCATTTGGAAATTGGAACCTGACTATCTTGGCATGACAATCTAACATGGCATAGCAGGAAGACAACTAGTCCATACCCATGATCACATCAAAATCCACCATTTCTAACTCTATGAGATCGGCTTTGGTGTTGCGACCTTGGACTGAAACTATACAACCTTTATAGACTCTGGTGACTTTTACTGACTCGCTAACTAGAGAAGATACTAGGAATGACTCACTAAGTTATTCAGGTTCTAGTCCGAGGTTAATTGCAAAGTATGAAGTCACATATGAAAACGTTGAACCTGGATCCATTATGGCATAAGCATCATGTGAGCAGACTAAAAGTATACCTGTAATAACTTCTACAGATGCTTCTGCACTCTGACGATCAAGTGTAGCAAACAAACGGGGTTGTCCCCCTCCCTGAGTAACTCGGTCTGCACATCTGCCTGCTCCATGCCCGGTTTGATTATGAGAACCACGAGCCTGAGGTGGTGCAATTGCAGTAGCTGAGGAACTAGAAGGACGAGTTGATCCGCCACTGAAATTACGTCACAGCTTTGGGCAGTTGGCCTTTATATGACCAATGTCTCCACAATGGTAGCAACCATGAAACCCGAGCTTGCCCTGACCTGAATGTTGCCGCTTACATGTTCCACAAAGACCTTGCTAGTGTGAATGTTGCTCAGCATGACTCTGGCTATGTGAGGATGATGTCCTAAAATTCTGATTCTGGCGAGACTGATTTCCATAACTCTGAGTACGTTTGAAGAAAGACCCACCACCTGATTAATGATTGGACTGAGCTGGTGCTAATAACTCCTTATTAGAGGAATCTCTTCCATCTCCGCTGGATGTACCATTAAACCTACCCGTTGTTCGGGCTTTCTTGTTATGCTCTTTTTCTTCTCTCCTTAGTTGTCTGTCTTTTTCTAAGTGCTTGGCAAATCCTACAACAGAGGAGAAGGCTGTCATCCCTACTGCTGTAGCTGATGTTGTATCCTTCATGTGGTAAGCTAAACCGCCAACAAACCTGTGAATCTTTGCTTTTTTTGTCTTAACCATGTGAGGAGCATGCTTAGCTAACCTTATGAATTCCATGTAGTACTCTTGCACACTTTTATTCCCTTGCTTGAGTTGTTCGAACTCTGTAGCCTTAGCTTCCCTATCCTCTTCTGGGATAAAGTTAGCTATGAAGGCCTCTTCAAATTCTTCCCAAGTAGGCGGACCATCATCTTCATCTCTTTCCTTTTCCCACATCTCAAACCAATCGCCGGCCACATCTCTAAGCTTGTAAGCAACTAGCTCCACAACTTCATCATCAAATGCTTTCATCACTCGGAGGGCTTTCTTGACACCCTCCAGCCACAACATCGGATCTTCATCAACTATAGAACCATGGAACACTGGAGGACTCAACTTCAAAAAAATCATTCACTCTTGAGGACTCAGAATTGTTCTGTCTATTTGATTGAGGTGGAATCTCATCTCTTCTCTCGTTCTGATTTGCCATAAAGGCTTTAAACATCTCCATAGCACTATTGACAGCATTAAACATCTGACCTACCTCGGGAGATATAGTTGCCTGAGCCGGAGCTACTGTTGGGGGCGGTACTGGATCATGAGGTACTTGCTTATCATTATCCACTCCTTCTTCACGTTCAACTCGGGGTACTTGGACCCCTTTTGTGGATCTACCCTTCCTTTTCTGAGTTAAAACCTTCTTAGTTCTGCCTTGAGCCACAATGGTAGCAATAGTTTCTTGAGTAGTATCCTGAGCGTCGTTGTCAGAGTTGCGAGTACGAGCCATTTCTGCGAGTTTTGGAAAAACGAATACATTAGATAATTTCTTAGAGGTAGGATATACTGCACGATCTAAAGTATGAAAAAATGAGATTTTTCCTAAATGCTTGTAGCCTCCTATTTATAAGTATGGCGCGCTTCATACCCATAAACAAGACTATATTAACATGGCTTCATAGACCCCTAGTACTCCATAAACATGAGGCTATGGTACCAAGTTTGCCACGATCCATTTTCTGAACAAGCCGGGACCGGCACTCGATCGCTAAACATGACCGAGCGAACCATCTCTACTTATCAGATCTATTATAACTCCAAACTTTATATGCAACAAGGTAATACTCCAACTAAATACTTTTGATTAATGTAAATATTTAAATAAATCAACTCCAAAACTTTATTCGTAATAACTACTAAATTTATGCTAAGTTATTATAAAAAATATCTGAATCTTACCCCATTGACTATGTCTATGAAGCCTCTACTGATAAACTGACGCACTGCTCAGGACATGGGATTTACTGGCCAATTCTCTAAGTAACAAAGAAATAACTAAATATAGATGACTTTAAGGAATACTCCACGAACAAAAGCGGAGCTGAACAATAGCACTGGAAGAGAAGGAAGTCCTATCTCGTCGCCTGCTCGCCTGCAAATTCGGTTCTTACGTTGTACCGCAGACCAACGTAGGTTCCCAAAAGAGAACGTCAGTACCATCCATTGTACTCAGTGAGTCTCAACAACAGGGGGCGAAACTTTAATAACATATATATTATGAGCAAAGGTTCTAAATGCATGTAAAACATAAAGCTTATAAGAATAATTCTAACTAATTGCATAATAGCAGTTTTTGAATATTCTAAAAGAAATTTTTTTCTTTTTCTTTCTAAATAAAATATACTTCACTTTGTACTTTGGGAGTTCCAACTATCCTGACTTAATTCTGTCTCAGTCACCATTTGATCGGCACGGGTTCGATCCCAACCTGATCGAATAGGCCCAATCCACGAGGTGCCACTCGCTTCATGGTTCTCAGCGCTCATGTCTCATACCTTAGCATGGCTAAGTAAATTCTCAGCAACGAGACCCTCGGCTCATGTGTTCCCTACTTTGGCACAAGTAGTTTCAGGAAGTCAACGCCTTGGTCAGGACCCTAGGCCTGGACGATGACCCCTTCTCAGAATAAAGGATACTCCCAAAAATCTTTTCTTTCTAAAACTTCTTCTTGTGACTTTTCAAGTCTAAATCTTTTATACATACTCATACTAGTATCCTTAAATGTAAGGCATGACATAAGAATGGAATAAACATTCAAAAAATATTTTTAAAGGTTCTTGATCCTTCATGAATTTTCAACATGAAGATGACATATAAGAATAACATAAAAATCTTAAGTTTATGCACATATATCCAAATAATCATCTAAACTTTAGCTAGAAAATAATTCTAAGCTAATAGGTACTTACTACTCCAATTAAATATATATTAACTCTTTTATGCAATTCATCAAACACCTTGTGTGCGTGCTTTTGTGAGTTAAACAACTTTAGTAAAATGTTATATCAACTCACCTCAAAACTTCTCGAGGCAATACGTAGACCTCAGTCAAACAACCGATTCTACAACAACCAGTGCATTTTAATCAATTTTAAAGTTTCACACCTAAACATGAAATTTATTGTTGATATAGAGAAAGAATGGAATTGACTATTCAATTCTTACCTATTACTACTGTACGGTAATTAACAATAGGAAATTTTATATAGCTGAGTTCAAGAATTCGTGACTTGTAAAGAACCTAGAATTTTCCGTGCGTGGCTGTCTCCGTTTCGCAAGCCTGCATTTGAAAACAGAATGACTCTGTTTTTATTTAGGGCATTAAGCCCTTTGTATTCCTTTTTTTTTTGTACCCACTTCATGGGTAGGTCACGTTCACTATCCTTTTTTCCTTTATTTTGTTTGTTTGTTTTTTTGTTTTTTAAAACTTAACTAATAATTAATGATACCCACTATCAATAATTAATAACACTAAAATTATTAATATATTATTAATATTCCTCTAATTGTATATCCAATTATTTAAGTGTGTGTGTGTGTGTGTATTTTCACTATAGCGTGTCTCAAAACTTTTATAAATTTGAGGAGTGTTACAATCCTCACCCTCGAAAGAGGTGAACTCAAGTTCATATATAACATTGTATCCATAATTACACCCAATACCATCATGGTAAGTGTAATGGTCAACCTATGAATACAAATTAAATAAAAAAAATATTTGTCTTCCCCCGAATTCTCGGGGGCAGGCGTCATGCCCCTGAATTCCGACTCGACGAGACTTTCGCTTTGATGTCGGCCCCTTGTCATCATGTCTCGAGTCTGGCTTATCTTGTCGGAGGCCGGGATACACCATGAGCTCGATTTTACCCGTATACAAGTTGGACATGCCTTTATTTAACAACCAATTTTTTTGGCTTTTGTAACGATTTTCTAGGTGACATCATGAAGATTTTTATTCAAACAAGAACCATCCGTCCGTCCAAATACCAAGATAATAATAATGTTGATCAGGCCTGAGTTGTACAGTTGAACGAAATAGATTTCTTAATACTCAACTCTACAAGAATAGTGGAAGCATACATTCGTCCTGATCCTCCAAAAGTTACATATTTCCGAGGATCCGACCAACATAACCGCAAGCAAGGGAATAATTCTAAATAAATTTTTTTGTTCCTCATAGAAAATTTTCGTCTAAGTTGCCGAAAAGATTCCAATGAATTGGGCTACCTATCCAATTCTGGAAAGGATCTTCAAGCCCTGGATTATACATGTCGCTGGAAAATGTCTCCAAAGTGTCTGAATTTTGGAACAACTCATTTGACCCCATTTCCAAATTACTCTCATTCATTTCATCTAAGCTGGAACTAGATGTTGAATTTTGAATATTCTGCTGCTCCTCTGGAAAGTCTAATGAAGGTAAAGTTTCTGGCAATTCCAGCTTCCCATTGATCTCTTCTTTTTCTGAAGAATCATTTTGCTTAATATCGTCATTTTTATGATGATCAGGTTGTTCAATGGGCTTGTGTGTTAAAGGATCTAAGCCGAGGAGCTTTAGCTTCTTCTTGATCCTTGTATTCCAGTGATTCTTGATTTCATTATCTGTACGCCCTGGAAAATGCGCTGCTATCTTTGACCACCTGTTATTAAAAAGTATTTACACTATAATTAGGCCGCTTTAATTAATTAAAGGTAAATATTCATTATTAATGGAATTAGTAGAAAATAGTGTAACATTTTAATTGCAATGTTAATACCTATTGCCAAGCTGAGAATGAAGCTTGATGATCATGTCTTCCTCTGCTTCTGACAGTGCTCCTCTTTTGAGATCTGGCCTTAGATAATTTATCCACCTTAATCTACAGCTCTTTCCACATCTCATTAGCCCTTCAATATCATTATATAAGTCCATCAAATTCTAAGCACATCTCGAGGAAATTTTTTAAATTTTTCATAATTTCTTTCAAATTAAATGCCACAAAAAAATCCAATTCTTGTGTATGTAATTACCACATAACTCCATCTACTATCAAGTCGGTTAAAAAAGAAACAAAAAAATATCAAGTCAGTTATCCACTGTAGAGATTACAGTAGAGCGGTGCAGTAGTTGAAGAAGTTACACTAAAATCCACTATTTTTATTACAAGGAATATAGCTACTACTAAATTATCAACTTAATTAAAATAATTAAAGGGAAAAACTTTAGTCACACTAGATATTACATCATGCAAACAAATGCAGACGAATTTAAATTATTTAGGTTGGTGTAAGAACCAGGTGCACATAAGCTGTACTACCCTGCTATTCAAGAAGATTAGGGTGAATGAAAATGACGTAAACTTACACACACATAGTACAATGTCTTTTATATCCACTTTTGTCAATAACAATTGTTGATTAATACTATATATGTTGTCACATGAATACATCATTTAATCATGGTCAACTAATTTAGTTAAGCATTGGGCATGAATAAGGTTTTTCGCGTGAAATCTCATAATATCAGTGCTTGAGATTAACAACAAATGATTTCTTCAAATGCATAAAAAAATACTACTAGTAAAGTAGTAATTAAAGAGTGTTGATTCTTGGAAAACTATATATTAAGTACCTGCTAATTTTGGTACAAGGCGCCAGCATTGTATTCCATTGTTGAGGATGAAATTCATAAGCTTATGATCTTCTTCAATTGTCCAAGGACCCCTTTTGAGTCCTATCTTTTCACAACAAGGCTGTCTTCCCATATTTTTGGGGAACTAAACTTCAAAAGAAAACCTAAACTTGAAGAAGTTTCATTAATTCAGTCAAGAAAATTAATTAAACTTGGGATCAGCAGCCAAAATGTGGCTTATAAACAAAAGCAAAGATTCTGCCAACTCATCATACATTAAAATACCATTTCTTGTATGAGTTTGCTCATAATTGAAGAAGAAAGAATCAACCTTTGAAACAATATTAAATTCAATATGTCTGGTTTCCTTATCATTGCCAAAAAGGACTATTTGCAATTAACAAAATGAAGAAACAGACGTGAGTTCTTGTCGTTGACATGTTTTTATATATGCCCACGATGTTTTCTCCAATTGAATTTTGCGAAAAGTAAAACAATATAAATTTCTAAAAAGATTCTTGGAGTTGCCTTTCAGCTGGCTAGTTACATTTATGGGAGGCAAGTCCTTTTCTTCTTCTTTGTTTATTTTAATTACCTTTTGATTATTTGGAGCTTTTTGATTCTATTAAAGGCCACGGTGTTCGACTTTGCTTTAATTTTCTTTACCTTATCCCGTGCATCAAAATCTCTATGGGATTCAACTTGTCAATATTCTAACTGCAATTTGTTAGCAAACACTAATTTATTATAGTTACAAGTGCCAAATGAAATGATTATTATATATCATACTCATCATTATATATTTAATTGTCATTATTTTTTCCTGACAATTTCAATATTCGTGATATTGTCAATTGAGTTTGTTGACTAATTTAATGATCTCCAACGAATTAACTAGAATATGCTCTCTTACGGGAAGAAACCATCTAAGTATGTCAATCATTCAAGAGTTAAATTTCTGTGCAGTAACAATGTACTACCATCACGTCAAGATTACAGGCAACAACAGATAAATTCTGTAGTAATCTTAATTTGGCAACATAAAAAGTCAGTAATAACATATTACAATGCAGTAATACCTTAAAAAAAATTATACTATCAGTATTATTCCTTACTCGTTTTGTCTCAACTTATGCCTCGTACTTTCATTTGTACTGTCCCAAAAAGAATATTGTACTTTCTTATTTAAATATTTTAAATTTAAATTTCTCATTTAGTCCTTTATGAGATGATTTTAATCATATAAATGTCTATGACTTATTTTAGACCATAAATTTAAAAAAATAAAAATAAACTTAGTGCGTAGTCAAATACTGCTATATAAATTGGGAAGATTTAAATGGAGTATTTAATTGCAAAGGCAAAGGTGGCTAGCAAGTATACATAGACAGAAGAACAAAAGAATATATAGCTTGTATGGAGATATTGCTGTCTAAATGAGATTTAGACACGGTTCTCATTCGAGTACATAGTCATGATTTCTGAATAATGATACACCCCATGAGTTCATTGGATTTGTAATTTTCAATAGAACAATCTGTACATGGACCATGGTTTCATTTATTTTAATAAGCACAAATCGAATATTGAGATGTTTATGAGATGGTTTAACTAAAGACAAGTATATATAATATAATAATGCTTTCACAATATTATCGACTTTGAGTGGGACTTGAGGCCTTCCGTCTTAACTATATAAAATGATTTGGCAGAGCCAACTTTCGGTAAAGTCGTTTTTCTGCCTTAAATCGACTAATTTTTTTTATAATATCAATGTAGTTTAAATTGATAATTCAGGTTATTAATTTCACTTATTATAAATGGTTACCTGTAGAATATGTAGCTTGCACTGTTAGTGATTTGATTAATTATTATTTTGCAACTATGTCCTGAATCAAGTAAATTGAGCTGGAAAATATAAAAGAATTCCGTAGAAGTTTGTAAAAGTATTGCAGCGATTCAAGTACGTTGGCAAGCTAATTTGGATCTATATTATATTACTATAAGTTTTGTTTGATGGCGTGTATCCATTATTACCTGATTCTGATAGCTAAATTCACATTGACGAGCTCAGCTGCCAATCATCTCTTACCTTTGATGTAGTTTAATACTTATGTAGGGCAAGGAACCATTGGATAATATCTTGATAATGGAGTCGTTTATTGTGTTTAGAAGGAACAAATTTAGGGTGCAGTTGATACTTGATCTTTTATTTTGCAGCTTCTAGTCGATGGGACAGAATTCTTCCAGCAACGGAATTGTGCCGTCCGGACCGAGCAAGCAAACAGCTACCTCTATTTCATCAAGTTCTACGCAGTCGACAAAAGAGTACAACTTTTCCTCTTTGATACCGGGGATGTTCTGAAAACGCTGCAGACCCTACGAGGCTGATACGAAAAGCGGAAGCAAAATAACAAAGAACACAAATTAAAATGATAGAAAGATAGAACATTTGAAATAAACAAATACTCAATCAATTTAAGACTTAATTGATTCAAAACTATAGGAACAACTGATCACGCCCAACCATGCCTTATCAAAAGGACTAAGAGGTCGCTGCAAATATATAATCCGGTTCAGTCCGGAGTCGAATCTCAGAGGGAACTAACCTATTTACTAAAACTTTTAACACTGCTAATGAATAGCTCAAACAATCCCCGGATGCAAGATTTTTAATGGATAATGAGTAGAATATAGTTAACTAAGGAAAAATAATAATAAAACTAGCAATAATCAAGAATAGAGTTGAATTCAATGGTAAAATGGTCTAGGGTTATTGATTTCCCCAATTGTCGGACTAATTCCTGACACGTTAGCTATAATTTCGCCGTAATACTCTATAAGAAATATGAGTTCTAGATTACCGCAATTATCTCTCGATCAATTACGATAATTTACTAGAAGCATTCTCTCGAACTACTCTAGTTAACAATTTATGCAACTCAGAATTATTCCACCAAAGCTTCATTATTTCTAACCCTGCTTTTAAATTCAAGTAATTAATCTCTTAACTTACCCGAAAGTGGTGTTGTTTAACAACAATCTAACCCAGTGTTCTTTCTCAAGCAACACAAGGTAACTAGACACGATTAATCAAGGGCCCTTTCAATTAATCACAGGAAAATACATAGTTGAACAATTATAGATTAAGAAACGGCTTAATTATATCAAAACGTAATCAATACTTCATCCAACAATTGGTTCCATCAATCCTAGATTAGAGGTTTAGCTACGCATAATTGTTTTCACAATCATAATGATATAATTCATCCTCAATGATAAAAACAAGACGAAGAAAGGTAAAAACTCTATGCCGAATCTTCTGCCTTGCTTCTTGCCTGTTCTTGCCTACAAAAATGCTTCAAAAACCTCGATATCCTCTATTTGGGCGAGCTAGGCTTATTATAGGTCAAGGAGAGTCGTCCTGGAAATTACACAATTGACCTTGCAATGTTTGGCTCCGAACACCCCGTCCGCGGCCGCGGATTCAACATATGTTCTGTCCGCAGCCGCGGATTGACCGCGGACCTGGGCGCGAACTTCATCTTTTGCTCTTTCTTCTTTTTTTTCGATCGTGTTGGCCTTCTATGCTCCATATTAACTCCAAAACACTCTTTTAGCTTTTTCCTAGCTCGGAGTGACTCCTGCAAAGCAATAAACTCGTAATTAGAGCATTTTGTTATCTTTTACAATCAAACATAGGTAAAGTGCGGCCAAATTAGAGTGCAAATGCTAACTCGCATGATTATCATCTATTATCAACACCTCACACTTAAATCTTTACTCGTCCTCGAGCAATCAAACCACACTCTACAACGGCCTAACTTTACTGAGTGACTCCCCTAACTCGTCACACCAAGTACATTTCACAAGAATTGAGCCCAGTAGTGTAACATATTCGCCTCAAGAGCTGACTCTCCCATGCCACTCAATATTCCTAACTTTACTCACTTACTCTAGCGCAGAGGTTAAGACTCTACCTTTCCTTCATGAATCAAGTGCCCTTTCATAACAAATGAGAGTGGTTCCACACACAATAACATTTAAGAACAATTAGGAACTTAAGATAGAAAGAATTCACTCACTCTAAAAAAGAACAATGATATGGCACAAAAAATGCACCATAGGCTTTCCTGTAGTGTACAACTCCACTAATTCGAGTTCATTCAGTCTAGGATCGATTAAGACTTCATTTGGTTGTAATATATGTTGCGGGACGGGTAGGATACATTTAGGTATAAGAGTGACTACACCTCCCTAAGCACTTTAATACATAACCTTTATCATTTAAAACCCCACATCTTATGTCAAACCATAATTCCACCTTCATATCACTATATATTAACTCCATTCTTCTTTAAGCACAATTACATCAAGAGCCACCCTTTATCAAGGAATTTTTTTTTACAATAATACACTATTATTTTCTTTCTCCTTCACCTCAAGTGGCTCTTACTTGTTCAAAACAGTGCACCTTTCTCCTTATTTCATTAGTTCCACTCAAAAGCCAAACCACCCACCCCACACTTTAACTTTTACAAAGTTCAGCACAATTCAAGTGCTCATGAGAGGTAAAGGGTTCAAATAGATGATTAATTCAAACAAATGGGTAAGGCTTGTAATATGATTTCCAAAGAANGCTTAACAAAGAAATGCCTATATCATTTCCAAGACTGAACAAACTACTATTTCGCTTTGCAAACACACAGGGCAAGTTCTAGGCATTTAATGCAGTGCACAGAATACAACAATCCTCACACACACATGGCACATGACTCACTCCATACTGGATCATCGAAATGCTCTAGTCAGAGTATTTAAGCCAAATTAAGAACACACAATTTAAGGCACTCTAATAAAAATCAACAACCGAGCCTAAGCGTCACACTAAAGTATCTACTGTATTCAAGGCATAATGACGATAAGGGATCCTCCTTTCATATCGGCCCTTAGCCCAAAAGTACACAAAAAATAATTAAAAAAAAAAACTAAATTACCCGGTTCAAACGAAAACCCTTGGAAAAGAATCGCGGTCAAAAGAAAAACCAAGGGGTAATTGATACACTACCTACAAAAGAAAATCTTTTTATTTTTATATCGACTTAGACCCTCAAGAAACCCGTCGAGTGATATCCGTCGCCGGGACAAGTCGAACACATTAAGACTGCTAATCAAAA